TTATTTTGCACGATTAGGAACTTATTTGTTCAAATTTGATTTCATTATTTGTCTATTTTGACATTTGTGTCATTGTAAAGCACTTTCCACCTCGGTTATTATTATTTCAATGGACAAATTGATCAGATACATTATAAAATACTAGAAAATAATCAAAATTTCATACATTTTTAATGATAAAAAGCTGATAAAAAGCTGACTAATCAATACAACACATGAATCTACACTATATGCAGCTGCACTGTTCATTCACAGAAATAATTAGTTTGTCCGTCCGACTAGATTTAACTTATTAGATCCAACCAGTAACAGAAGAGAAGCGAATAACTAAGAAAAAAGGGGCATCATTAAATAAATAAATGATAAAATATCGTGTGTTGTGTGTCTGCAGGCGTCATTCCTCACGACAAGAAACATCCGAGCTCTTAACACCTCATTTTATTGTCCCAACATTCAAAAGTACAAATAATTCAAACACAACAGTTTTATGAAAAAGAAAAAACAAACATTTACAGCAAGATTTTTATTTTTGTTTCCAGTTTCAGAAATGACCTAAACTAGCAAGGATAACATGAAGTCATTCATCGCAGTAATTGGATTAATAATAAGAATAAGAATACTAAGAATAATAGCAATAATAATCATAATAATCATCATTGATAATTGTTAAGTAATAACATAAGCAGGAGAGAGTAGAGAGAGCCGCGGTCATGGGGCCCCGTGAACATTTTTTCGTCTTTTTTGTCTTTAAAGATTTCATTTTATAGATTTTTCAGATAGTAAACAAACACGTCTCAGGAGGAAAAATGAAAACTGACAAGAAGAGCCTAGTTCCTCTGTTCACCTTCCCTCCTCCACTACTGGCTGCGTTGTTCCTACTGGCAGGCTGCCACTATAAGGCGCTACAGGGGATGGTGTGAGCCATAGGGGTTGGGCATAGAGCGAGGTGACGCAGCCCCATGTTTCAAACACCCTGACATGCACACGCACACACACGCACACACTTTGCACAATCGCCCGTGCCACACACACACGCAGGGAAACACACACTCACACTCGTACACATGTGCACAAACACTACAGGTACTGTATTACACACACACACGCACACACACACACACACACACGGATTCACTCCACGCTAACGGACGCTATGCGGACGACACGCACGGTTACGTAAAGGAACATGCACACAAACATGCACGCGCACACGCACGCACGCACACTCTCGTGCACACAGGGTCTAGGCGGAACACAGGCACGCATCGTAAGAGTTCAAAAGTCGTACAGTGTAGGAAATTAGTTCACACATCAGAACATTCTACTGGGGTCGTTGCATAATTCAAGCTCCCGACGGCGGCGGGGAGCAAGAAGGGGTCTGGTTGGTCGGTTGGTTGGTTGGTTGGTTGGTTGGTCGGTTGGTTGGTTGGTTGGTTGCCGTTATGAGAACACGATTGGATGGCGCGGATGACTGTTGGATGACGGTAATGATATCAGATGAACCCGGCTTGTCAGACGACTGAGGTGTGAGAGAGGAGGAGGATGTACTATATGCGAGCATGCGTCTGAGTGTTTCAAATGCTCTCCACACACCTCCTTCATGTTTTCAAGTCTTAACAACAAACAAAAAAAAAAAATCCAATTTCCTTTATATTTATACGTCTGGAACCATTCCCTTACCTTTCACCTTTCAAAATATATAATATATATCATATTAGAGTATATAAAATATAGAATCGGTACAATCCCTTTTTTTTATACCTCCAGAGTACTTCTTAAGTATAGCAACAACTGTTGTAAATAACAGTTGGTGTGCAATGGTAACAATTTCTCATTTTTTTTTAAAGATTTGTTGGTATGTCATTTGAAAACATGATGAATATTCTTAAAAATAAGTTCTGACTCTTTAGTGACTTTGACCGATTTAGTCCAGTGCAATGAATGACCCTCAAAGAACATTTTTTTTGTTTTGTTTTTTTTTGTTGTTTTTTTTTTTGTTGTTTTTGTTTTTTAATTTATCTGCCCAAGCCTCCAAGAGCTGAATGTTATATAAAATGTTCACTGAAAACTGAAAACTATGCTTTCAGACCCACATTTTTGCATAAGGTTTTCATCACAAAGCGGTAGTAAGTGGAGGGAGGGTGTGGACGGAGTGGCTTTTTAGAACTACACAAACTTATCACAGGTTATATTGAACCAGAACGACTGTTTATAACATTCTATTAAGACTAAACTTTATTGAAAAAGATCTAAAGATTTCATTTTAACAAGACAAGAAAAAAGCAATAGCAAATTTAACTATTAACTAGGTTATGCATAGCGAGTAACTGTTTCTAGTAATAAGGGAAGAGCGTCCCCCGACCCTCCAGACATTTTTTTCAGTTTTCTTGACTTTTAGAGTTTTTTTTATATTGTAATTTTGATATATTGGTACAAAGCACAAACGTACTAAAAGTTCTCTCAGTGCAGTGGACTACTGGAAGAGCCTCTCCACTAGTCGCTTTGTTCCCTTTTGCTCAGAAACGCCCCCCCTCCCTGTACCAGAATCACGCAAATACACAGACAATGAAAACAAATAAATACATAAATTACACAGATAAATTAATCCGTTAATAAATATATAATAAATAGAAATAAATAGAAAAATAAATAGCTCAACAAAGAAAAAAAAAACAAAGGTAAACAAAAACAAACAAACGAATACAGTTTATACTCTTAAGCTTTTTGTTCGGTTTCTTTTGCCGCGGTAGTTGAACTGAAAGGTAATCCAATTTTTTTTTTTTCTTTTTTTTCTCCACAAGCAACATGACAACAATTGAACAGTTTCCTCACAAGTTTTTCTAAGTAACTGAACCACCACTTCATAATAAATTGTCATATGAAAAAGACAAGCTCAAACAAAAGAACAGTGACAACTCAGATAGTACAGTAGATATTGTAAAAACAAATGTAGACTATATATATATTTATATATATCATCTATTTGTACACAGCAAATAAAGACACAGTTGTCATAGATCCTTTTTAAGGAAACAAATATCTAGACTAACGGAACTAGCTAATCATCATTAAGTTTTTGACAAACGTTTCACGCTCAGCGGGTAACCTAAAAAAGTCAGCAAGCCAAACAAACAAACAAACAAACAAACAAACAAACGGAAATCAAAGGATACAAAAAATGAAAGTTTTTTGTTCAGTGATTCTTACAAGGCCCAAAAAAGTCATTTAAATCTGGTTATTCAGCAAAAGAAGTCGTCTCACCAGACTCCCCGGGCCGACATTAAACGAATATTAAACAAAGAACAGCAGCTCAAGTCAATGCCAACATCGAAGTATTTTTTTTTTCTCTTTAAACAACACATAGAACAACAAACTTGGATATTTAAGATATGTGAATAATGTAGTATAGCACCTACTGTTGATCGCTAAAAGGAAGTTCTTTTCAAATGTAAGTTTCACAAACGCAGAGCGAAGAGAAATGATATAGATAATGTGTAGTATGCTCTCTAAATGGATAGATGTGTATATATCTAGGTACTGATATCCCATATTGACTGATGACGAAGAAAAAAAACAAGAAAACAAAAACAAAAAACAAAAAACAAGTGGACAAAAGGGTCTTCTTGCTTTGGGCTCTGGACTATAAGGATGGTTAGGCCTCGGAAAAAGACCCCTCTCCCTTCCCTTTTGGGTATCGCTGTTGAATAATTACGCACTAGTACACATGTGAAAAATTACCAAAATCACCTGCCTCAAGTTTGCATCCCTTTGCACAAAACCTTCCGTCTACAAAATCGCTTACCGACTTGGAGTTCCCCAAAAAAAACGAGCAGACCTCTGATCCGATAAGGTACCACGGCAGAACGACAAAGACAAGGTGGTGCCCCCTCCCGCCCGCCCCGGCCCCCCCTAGTTAGCCAGTCAAAATATTTTTCTCTTTTTTTTTTCTTCAAATCCAGATTCTTGTAAAAATTCTTCAATAATTATTATTTTAATTATCATTTATAAAAATAGATCTTCTTTCTATTTATTTTTATCTTTTTTTTTTTTCTAAACGCATATTATTATTATTTTTTTTTGTTGTTTTTTTTTATTTTTTGTTTTTTTCCAAGCAAAGAGATCTTTTCTCTTTGGCAACAACAGTGTGATGTGTGTTTTTTTTTTTTCTTAAATTACTGAACGTGTCATCAGGAAAGCTAACCCATCCCCTCCCTCGCCCCATCTCCCTGAACCCCAAGTGAGGAAAGACATTATGTTTTGTTGTTCGCGATACAAAACAAAAACAATGTTAGAAATTCATTTTTTTTCTACATCAGAGTTTTTCGGGGGAAATCCGCGGAAATTCCCGCCAAGAATCAATAAGGGGGGAAGTTTTTTTTTTTTTAAATTACACACTAAAAATGAATGAATGGTTCACTAATTTAAAAAAGAGCCCCCTCCCTTTCACTGACAGGGAGGTATATATATATATATATATATGTATTTATATATATATAATACTAACGACAGTGGATCCGGATTTACAAAAGAAAAACAAATCCTGAATCAAGACAGAGAAAAGGCTCCAATCTAAAAAGGACGTTCTCTTCTCTGAAATAAGGGGGATACAGGGATTTGCTACTGTTTACACAGAAGAGAAAAATCATTTGAACAACCACAACAAACAGAATATACAACAAAGAGAAGCCTGCATTATCACAGGAGCTTCCAAAAACTCGTGAACATTTTCATCATTTCATTTTTGTAATACTTAGGCAACATTGGCTTATAGGTCCAAAGTTATAATATAAGCCATTTCTAGTTCAATTTGTTGGATGGTTTGTTGGTTGCTTTGTGTTCCGGTCGGAGCTTTGCTGTGTTGGATGGCTGTAGTCGGGTGGTGGTGGCGGCTGAAGGGGCTGAAAGGGGGGGGGGGGGGGGGGGGGGGCGGGGTCGGGGGTGGGAGGGTGGGGGGGCAAATTTAGGGAGCAGACAAAGTGGCGGGGCTTCTACCTTAAAGTTCAGGACTTGTGTGTCTTGTTAGTCTTGAAGGAGACTTGCAAGACGCGGTCGCCCAACCGGTAGCCGTTGAGGCTGGCGATGGCCATGGCCGCCTCGTCGTAATTCGTCATGGTGACGAAGCCGAAGCCTTTGCACTTGTTGGTGTTGAAGTCACGGATCACCTTGACGTTGTTGACGGCGCCGAACGGCCCGAACAGCTGCCAGAGCACGCTCTCATCCGAATCCGGGGACAGGTTGTACACAAAGATGCACCACCCGGTGCCCGTGTGCCCGGGGATGTTCATGCCCACCAGGCTGGTCATGCTGTCGATGGTGATGGGGGAAAACCTGGGAGGAGAGGCGGAGCGAGGCGGGGAAGGAGGAGGGGGGGAGGCAAAAAAAAAAAACAAGAGAGAAAAGACGGCACGTGTTAGGCGGCACACGGTGACACGGCGTCGGCATGTGGTGCTGATGAAATGGCCATAAACCTGTGAAAAGCTCACGAACCTCAACCGGCTCACCTGCACCACGCGCTACCGTCTACAGCCAGAGCTACGCCTCCCCACAAAGAGCCTGATCTCCAACCCAGACCTCCCCCCACTCAGATGAATGGCCACATATGTGCATGTGTGCATGTGTGCAGCGGCGACGTCGTCTCTGAAAGGCTTCCTGTCGGGGAGCGACGCCGGCGCCGAGCTACGATTCTGCTGAAGGAGCCGCAGACGAAGGTTCTGTCTTTGTGCCCTCGAGTGGCTCCTTTAGGTGCCTAAATTGCAGGAAGTTGTTGAATTAAAACCCCTTGCTAGAAATTCATCAAAGATCACGCAGCAGCCTGCTAAATCTGTTCTCGCTCGCCTCATAATCTTCTTCTTTTTCTTGTGATGCAAGAGATTTGAATCCTCAGTTGACTTCACTTAATTGCCTTTCCGCTCAAAGGAAAGGGAAAGAAGGAGGAAGAAGAAGAAGAAAAAATACCCCCACTTTTAAATAAAAGGTAAATGAGATAAAAAGGTTCATTTCTTATGCCACCTCTCTCCAAGAAAACGACTATAGGCATTATTGGGAGTGCTTTAATTGAGATTTCCGCTTTGCTGCAGCTGTCTTAGAGGAGGAGGAGGAGGAGGGGAGAGGCAGCAAACTAAATGGAAAATGGAAGCACTTTACAGCCCAGTGGCATTAAGGTACAAAGTGTATTCCTCCTGCTCCCCCTCCCCCTCCTGCAGGGTGTTCTGGTCCGTTCTATTCCAGAGCTCGTGGCACTGATCGATAGCGCTGCTCGCCGCTCGGGGCCTCCAGACTTCTCTCTCCAGCGGCTGCTCGACAATCACTACGACCTTCCTGCGTGACTTTGGTCGTGCAGAGGCTGCTGCCGGCCTTTGCGGTGGCTGTGAATGCTAATACGAGCGCCGAGGGTGGCGGGCTGGTCGACGGCGCCGACTCTCTGATTAAGTGGATGCACTAAACAAACAGATGATTAAGTTGTAATAAACGATATAAATCTTTCATTTTTTGTTGAGGACTGGTGCTAACCGTGCAGCCCTCGGACGACGCGGCCTCGGCGGCTTGTTAAGATGATTTTCATATTTTCTCGGGGACCCAGCAGGTGGACTCTAACAGGCCTTTTCACGTCCAGGCCTCGTCTGACACGCTCGGCCACGTCCAGGCCTCCCCCGCTGGCTCTGAAAAGGCTTGTGGTGATTTTTAAGTAAAAAGCTGGAGAGTGCGAGGTTGCGGGGGGGCGACGGTTTGGACGCTGGCTATCGCTACCGCTGTGCCGACGTGGAAATGAGTGTGTGTGTGTGTGTGTGTGTGTGTGTGTGTGTGTGTAAACGCAGCCATCAGAGCGGGACCAAACACTAACCAGTGTTAGAGACGAGACCAGGGGTTGCATAGCAACAGTGTAGCTGACCAGATATCTGTTCTGTCCTTTTCTAAAGCTAAACCATTTCCCAGCTCTTAACACTTTTCTTCTCTCCCCTTTCAAATAATAACCTCAGATCAGTGGAAAACACTTCTAACTTGATGACATGCTCCGCAATCAGGGCAGCAGCCGAATCAGACACTATTTTCACCTTTTTGGAAAATTATGTAAAGACTCAGATTGAAGGTAAAGTGCTCGCAGGGCTCCAACCTGCGGATTCCACCGAGCATCGCTACGACGCTCCCCGATTCTGCGTTTGACAGAACTGCAGGGTTTTTTTGTTTTTTTTAGGGGGAACTTGCTCGGCAGAACACTTCTCTGGAACTTTTGGTGCAGTTTGAGTTGCTAAGCTGACTGACTGATGACGCCCCCCTGAGCTTACAACATGCAAGATGCCACCGTCAGCACATGAAACATCTATCACCACAGTGGCTGCTGCTCGGCTTATGTAACACCTACGGTAGCGAGAAAAGCAAAAAAAAAAAGAGAAAAAAAACGAAACATGGAGGCAAAAAGGAAGGAATTCGAGCAGAGCAGTGCCGAGCAAAGCTGGAGCTGTCTGCAGTGAAACAGCGGTTCCTGTTTCCAGCAGGGATCCAGGTTCATCCAGCCTTATCTCCAGCCTTCCCAGGCTCTGCACTATTTTGTCTTTGCTTACAGCGTACAGATGCAGAACCCACATGTTTACAAAATGTGTAAATCTAACAACTAAATGAAGGAAATATCCATAAAATCAAAGTGAGAAGTTGTAAATTGAAAGTCGCTGTCCCCTCCCCCCCAGCTGTAGCTGCGGAGCGACAAGGCAGGAGAACCTGAATCCGGTAGAAAAAAAAACAGAACACACACCTAGAAATCAGGAGGTTTTTTTTTTTTTAAACATCAGAGAACAGAATCCGTTCAGTACACAGAAACAACCCAAAAGAAACCAATCCAAACAACACCAGCACTCGTCATAATCAAAACAAAGCAAATTCATCACCACGGAAAACAAAGACTGATTGTTTTCTGTTCTGCTCCACCTTAAGTGGTTGGGAGGGTTTTAACGGCAACTCAAGCTGACGAGAAGGAAAAAAAAAACAAAAAAACAACAAGAAACCAAACAAATCAAAGAACCAAAAATGCAGCTGACCTTGAACGAATTGTCAAACGCAAAGTGACTGCAAAAAATACAAGGAAACATAAAAAAAACTAAAAAAAGAACCAAAAAAAAAAAAAAGGATATTGAAAAATCATTGAGTCAACATGGACATCTGGCATTGGGTGAAGTTTTTAATTACCTCTTTACGCCATAGGCCATATTAAGCAAATTGTCCAGCCTGTAAAGAGAAGGAGGGTTCTGGGGTTAATGGTGGGCAGATGGTCGACTCACTCAATGGAACTAATGTTAAGTCCCTGTAGGAACTGCATGGTCCTCCTCACTCAAGAACAAACAAACCCATCTATAGTTGGTCCATTACACTGAGGAGCCCCACCAGAAACAAAAAATAAAAAAATCAGTAAATGAAGCTACAGTACGATCAGCGTGGTCTGCGCTCGCTGCAGGCTGCAGACACGCTGACGTTACTGTAGGTGCGACCGCTTTTCTTTTCTTATTTTAATACAAGACTACAGCAGTGGACTGGTCACAGTTCAGTGTTACATACAGAGCGCTAATGGCGGGCGGGGCGTGAGCGTAGCATTGCACCAGGCTACGCAAACCTGATAGCCTTAGCCGCAATGCTACGAATCGTCCGTCTTATGCAGGAAATTGCATGTGGGTGTCCATACAATTTACGCCATCGCACCGGATGGTTCGTCAGGATGGAGGTAGATGAGAATTTGCTCTTCTCGTTATCAATGTTTTGTTGTTTTTTTTGGTTGTAATTGGTGTTAACTCAATAGAGAGAACACCTGGGATGGGATGATCCAGAGTTCTGTCAGTGTAATGGTTCGGCGTTTGAATGATGGTGAGTGAGCGAGAGAGAGAGAAGTGATGATGGTTCTCCATGAACGACAAAAAACCCCAAAAAAACCCACAACCGGATGTTAAACTACCCATGAAATGTGGGTCTTTGGCGGCTGGCGGGTCAACCTGTTAAGTGCTAACAGGTCAGGTGGAATGGCTGAGTGTCGGTCGGAGGGTGTCCTCTGTCTGAAAGGGTTTTTATTTTGTGTTGGGGGGAGGTGGTGGTGGTGGGAGATGTTCTGGTTTTATAATGATTCCAGCCATTGCGGTCAACCAGTGTAAACTAGCGAGTGTGTGTGTGTGTGTGTGTGTGTGTGAGCAGAAACCTGTGGGCTGTGTGAAATCTTGGCCCTCTTGGATGGATGCAGTCTGCTTGGTGACTCAATGACCTTCATTCCTCACTTGGGCTCGGCCTGTCTCATGTCTTATTAACTCCTCTGGCCTAATGGACAGGGGCCACGGCTTATTGAGCAACAGCTGGCCGGCGACGCCTTGAAAACACCACAGAACCGTCTGACTTTGACTCGACTGTCAGGGTTGTTGCTTCCCGTCAACACAGACACACGGGATTTGCCAAAAACACAGAACTGGAATGTAATTTTAAAAGTTATTTGAAAGAATCTGGGTTAATGAAATGCACGGCTGTGAGATAAAAATTCTAATTTATTGACTCAGACGAACCTTTTTGATGATGAGTCCTGATGTTATAATGTTGGTAATTACACCAACTCAGAATCGTGAGAATTAAACGAAAAAAATCTGCGTTGATTGATTTAAAACAAAATTCAAGCGAAAGCAAATTTGTAGAGGAAGAACTAATCCCCCTTAACTCAATATAGTTAGTTAGTTCAACTTAATTTCATTAGAAGTTGTTAAATAATTGATGCAAACTGTTGTTAATTATTATTGTTGAGCTTAAACCTTTGTTTTTTAAATAATGTGACTTTATATTCGCTCTACTTTATTATTAATTTGCAGTTAGAGGCAGTCTTGTATCCTAATAATAATGATAATAATAATAATAAACATCATTATGAAGCTATTTGTATTAATCATTTTAAATTAGACGCACTTGAGTTCAGATGACAGATCAGTGAAGTCGACTGAACACCTCGATGCAGATAACTGTGCTTAAGCACTTTGCAAATTAGAAATCCTGCCGGATTAAGGAGCCGCGTTTTATTTCAACACGAGTGGCTTCACGTCATTTTAAAATCAGAATGCTGGGGATGCGTTTAAATGCTGTAAACAGCCGTATTGTGGCGACCTACATTGAAAATCCCACATCGGAGGACATTTGCATAACTTGTTAAAGGCCTCCTTTAATCTGGCTTCACCGTTTGTCTGCGTCGTGGCGCTCCCCTCAAAAAAAAAAAGTACAAAAGCAGCCCTAAAACAAAGAACAACTGTGGGAGAAAAAGGATATACGGAATCATTAAAACAGTAATTAGCCCATTACGTGGGAAGGGAACAGGCAGTCTGCTTTGTGGGTAAACGAGTCAATTGGAGAGGAAGCTCAGAGGAGAGCAGCTCCAGGCCCGGGAGCACGAAGACATCTGCTGGCCGCCGGGCCGCTGGGCCACAACAAAACAACCTGCTGCTAACACCCTCTCCGCCTCGCCGTCTCTCTGACACATGTACGAACGCACGCTGACGCGAGCTCGCCGCGCAAACACAGCGGCGGCTTTTCACACCGCCTCTCCAAGCTCCACACAGACAATAGGGCCTTTGTGCTTTCTGTCAATGCATGTTAATGGAGGAATGGCTG